ATTGATCGAACTTTGTCTGACCATTAGACAGAAGCCCCATTTCAATCATCAGATTGAAATGCAGGGTTGAGAAGCAACTTAACGACAATGACTCTCGGTATACGAAGCATAGTTTAAAATTGCTCTTATCTCTAGTGTAAAAGGGCACAAAAGCCACACACAGAAAATCGTCTGAGTCATTCTCCATAAACTTGGGCACGCCGCATAAATTCCGCTGTTTTCATGCATCATTTCCGCAGAATTGGAGTGAACGTCGTCGTCGCATTACTAGCATCAGTCAAGGTGCTGACATAAGATTGCTGCCTCCAGAAGAAGGGAAAGAAAGTGACAAAAAGATGCCACTCAGGCTTTAATTGTGCGGCGTGCTTTTCGTCGTTTTTTTCTATCGTGAAAAGTGGAACCCACAGATAAGTGAGGAAAACTTCGTACATTCGTCACGCCACATAAAGCAAGAGAAGATGAAGTTGGATAGCCTCGAGTGAAGTACTACTGTGATATGTTCAATGATGCTGCATAGCAATGTACATATTTTCGTCGGATCATTGCATTTGAGCCTAATCACCTGCCAAACTGACGTGCGTCTCCATTATTTGGCTAATGCTATGGGTCAAAGCATTTTCTACGCCATATTTGATTGATGAACTTCCATTTAAAAAATAGCATTATAGGGGAAATGGCTCCAATGTTGGCCTATGGATCTAAGATTGGGCCCATCGCTAAAAATCTGCTATTTATCAATTTTATCTAGATAAACGCGTCATTGGGACGGTACTAATGGATATTTTTGGTCGCTATTGAAAATTTAGTCGATTGTTGAATTTATGTATGGGCCCAAATTAGGGACATTTAGACCGACATTACATCCATTTCCCCTACATGCGACAAATGTAGCTATATTAAATAGGGGCACTTGGGGTAAAATTCATACCTAGGGCAAAATGATCCATAACCAATTGATTTACAGTACTAGTGCATTCAAGAGAAAGTGCTGCCCCCGCCAGGTGCGTTTTACCCAATTTTTCCCTTCCAACGCCAAACCTATATTTCAGTTATGTCTATAACTTATGTAACTGTCAGGTATGCCGCAATGGTCCAAATCCGGATGCATTGTGTGCTGCTATTCAAAGTCCAGACACCTTCACGGCACAAGGATAAAAACACCAAAATACCATTAGGACATGTGACCTGTGCCACAGGTTTTACCTATTGAACTTCACACACAATGACTAATACTTTAATCATGAAACATGAATGGATTTTTGGACCCAGTAAATGAAGAATTTTCATTTCCGAAAAATAAAATACCAGCATTGTTGATTTCCGCAATAACTGTCGCTTGTAAACATAATGATATGGAATATTATGCTATGCGCAGAAATCTGAAACATGTTGTTTGATTTTCAATAATTATAATTATTGTTGGAGAAAATATTTGGTACAGGTGGAAGCTTATCCAGTTTGTTCTCTGCTACCGACAGCAGCTCAAAAATAGTTGTAGGTGTCGATCACACTATCAGCAGAATTTGTATTAGGACTGTTCAGCTTAAAAAAAATAGACACCGAAAAAGCCCGCAACTTTTCCATTTTACGTTGGATCAGAGTGAATATTATCAGCCAAACAATATTATGTATTGCCTAATGTATTCATTGTCAAATTCATAACTTTTTACTGTTAGTTAGTTAGTTAGTTAGTTAGTCGTTACATATAAAAACTATATGCCTGTCTTTATTTTTTCTCACGTAAACAAGCGAGTTTTCTGAAGTTGTAAACATATAAAGAAAAAAAAATCATATTTTTTTAAATACTTTGTATACGTATATGTACATCAAATTGCTAAGTAATGTTTATAAATATTGCTGTGTTACTAAGAAATAGAGCTTCATACTTGTTGAATGATGTTTTGAAAACTGAAACAACAAACCCAATTTTGCTGGCTATCAGAATAAATCATTTCAACTAGTTTCGTTGGAAATTGCGATATTTTAAGGTTATTAAATATAATAATTAGCGGCGCCGGTGGTGTAGTGGTAAGCATGATTGCTGCTCACCCCAAAAGGCCTGGGTTCAATCCTGGCTAAGCTGTATACTAGGGTGGGTAAACTTTAAATGGCAGATCACAGCCCCTGGCTTCCTACAGCTCTTTAGATTTGTATTGCAACTGTGCCAAATTTGAATGAATTCGGTTACGATCTGGTTAGGGCTTTAAAATGTGTATGGGAAAATGACTAAGTAACGGAACAAATCTATTAATTTACTTGAAAAAATATTATAAAAAATGTCAAATTTGCCTCAAACCTGGGACTTAGCATGAGCATGAGCATGATTGACCGCCAACGGTTGCTACTCTGTTATTGCCAGATCAGCTGTAATTACACAGAGAACCAATGGACGATGCTTGGGACTAGCAATCATCGTCAATGTGTAAAAACTGGTGATCTCAAATTAGGCAATACCAGCGCCGGCCACGCCCGAACACAGGTCAAGAAAGGAATTGGTAGGAATGTGTAGACGTGACAATCGTTTTGATAGAAGCTAAGAACACCTCTGTACTTCCAAAAAGAATCACTGGGATATTGGGTGAGAGGGTTGGGATTGCAGCAGGGTTCGTTTTGGTAAACGGTAAGCTGAATTGATGTCCTAACGATCATATAACGCGAAGGAGCTTGGGATTGAACCCTCGATATTTTGCTCAGTAAGCAAACATATTTGCCACTAGGCAACAGAGCTCCTTTGTATTCACATTAACAAATAAAGCGATTAACGAATCATGAATATGGAGGGGCTTGAGATTAAACTCATGATGTTCTACTCAGTAAGCAAAAATGGTCGCTCTAAGGCACTCAAGCTCCTCATATCACATCACGATCGCGTTTTTATTGCAACCATTCAAAACCAGCCCCGACTATAAGCCTCATTAATATAACAGGACCTGGGATTTATACAAACTCAAACTCGACAGTGGGTCCCTTTACACAAGAATAAGCTTTTTAAACCTAGAGACAAAAAAGCTGCGAAAAAGCGCTTATGCCTTCATTAAATTCTTCATTTACGTTCGTTATTTCGAATTGGTACCATATCAAAACCACCAAACCACATTATTAAACACGACCCACCGTAACTACCATCAGTCTTCATCCACCACCCTCATGTTCGTGTTAAGGGCACACCTAACAACACAACAAAAACTAATCGGTCAAATGCCAAGCTAGCATGTTCGATCGTGACATTTATTTTCTTAATCATGCTTCAGCATGAAAAAAAAATCAAAAAACATTATTCGTAGGCACCTACCGGAAAAAACCAAGGAACATGCCTCACGCGATCGAGGTCATCTCTCTGGCAAATGAGAAACGATGAAAATAAATCTCGATTACTCTCCCTAAGGGACGCATCCGCTCTCGTAAACAATGCATCCAACCCCAATCAAGCGCAACCGGCATCCCGTCCACGCACATCAACACAACCACCAGATAGGGGCAATTTTTCCTCTACCTGATAGGGGCGCCAGCACTGGCGAGTGAGCCATCAGCCACACCAAACCGACCATCAAACGCGCTGCCCACAAAAGCAAGACACGTCCCCTCGAAAATGATATCGAAAAATGTATAAGAACAATCTTCAACTGGAACATACTCACCAAATCAATATATCCTCAATATTTCCGGGAGCGTATTCCCGTTGCTTATTTTTCGCTAGTAAAAGTCACTCTGTGCACAAAAGCAATGCACATCGCAAAAACTTAATAATAGATCAGCGCAGTCGAGTCACACTGGCAACAAAGGGAAGCGAGAGCACACCAGGCACCTAAGCAACAGGTGGGAAAACATCAGCACAAACCATTCCAAATCAAATTATCACGCCCGGAACACAAACGCTATTCAAATGCGAGCACCGAAAAACTACAAGCCAGCACAAAGATAGCCCGAGCATAAAAGCACGCACCGGAGCATAATCACATAACCGTTCTCGAACGATTTTCAAAGCGGACTCCCAATTTGCCTCAAACCTGGGACTTAGATTGAAAAAACTGTACAGGACAACTTCCTGTAATACCGCAAATCAATTCCATTTCTGTGCAAAAAGTTATTTTTTACTGTCGCCCTGGTGCTCCGGACATACCAACAAGCTCATACAAGCATACCTACAAATCGAAAAAGCTGTGGGGAGATGGGGGTTGTTAAGTTGGCTCATCCTACAGGACAGTACAGTGCTTTATTTTGAAGAAGTATGTGAAATCTAATAGGTCACCCTTTAGTTTGATAACTTCAAAATATGAGCCTGTGCAAAAAATGGTCTGGTTTGATAATGATTTATAGGTCGCACACACTTAGAAATTTTTACAGAAATCTGTAAAATTTTACCGAAATCTCAACAGCTGACAATTTGTTGAAAATTAGATCTTTCAGTTGAACTTTTGACATCCATGTAAAATTCAATGCAAATGGATGTATTATTTAATACTTACATGTAAAATTTAGGTTTTTTTTGCTGTAACTAAGGGCAGAAAATACATCAATGTGCCAAATTTAAGTTTACAAAGTTTGCGCTGTGCGGATAACCCACTCTATTAACTAGAATTCAGAGAATTAATTACCATGTTTTGTTCATATTATCGGTCTCTGGAACACCTTACTCCTCTATCTACAGTACCTGAAAATAATGTTGCTTAGTTGAAAAAAAAGTCCGGAACAATATCATCATAAATTATTCATAATCCTGTAAATCATTCCGCTTATTATTTTTCTTTTCCTTTATGCTTGGTATATACCTATATACTGAAGAAAAAAAAATTTGCGAAATAGATGTAGTAATAAACAATTAATTAAAAACCATTTATACGCAAAAGAAAACTTATCACCAAACACGACTTTGTAGCCATAGAATAAAACCAGTATTATCATTAAATCAAAGTCAGAAACAATTTCGAACGTATAAATTTACCATTTATTCAAGATCAGTCCCCCAAGGAGGACACATTGATGGCAAATTTATAGTGAAATCAAGCGAGTATGCACATCATGTACATGAAGGTAAGAATTATGACCAAACCTTTTTCCGCAAATGAGAGTATTTTGGTGCCACCAAAGAGGCTCTGTTTTTCGCTGTCGGATTGCGTCGGTTGTTTGTACTTCATCTTCTTCGGAAACAAATTATACTGTTTTTCCACACTGCCGCTGCTGGTGCCAATGTCAGTTGCCTCAAAGAACGTGTCGACGAACGAATTTGAGAAATCTTTTGATAGATTTGCTTGCAAATATTTGCTGTAGTAGTGCTTCCCAGCATAAGTGTTGCCAATATTTATCTTGTTACCATACACGCGGTCTATCGCTTCAAACACGTACTCATTCTTGGCTATCCGTGTAACATTTGGTCTTTCCCTAAGACCCAATTTGTGAAGTATGTGATACTTAATAGTCTGTAGCAGAACTATCTCGATAGACGAGCTGATCTTCTGTACCACCGTATCGTCAGCATCACGTCTCAAATCGGAACGGTAGAAGCTTTTGCGAGAATGAGCTAACTTTCGGTTATAAAACTCTGTGATTACGTCAGTTACGAGATAGATGGTGCTCAGAATAGTCTGCGAGTGGGAAGTGAGATCTTCGTTCTCCAGTCCAAATTCGTATATTTTCCGGTTTGTTGAAAGTAAATTATTCAGACTACATCTTTTGGGGCGGAACTCACGTTTCTCGCGTGAATTAATCACGTCTTGCAGGTAGGATGATTCCAGATCCTTCTGAATTTCACACAATCGATAGAAAATGAATCTATTTAAACAACTAAACTTGATTGTATCAGTCCAAGTTTGATTATCATCTGGCGTGAAACAGTGGATTCGTAAATAGTTTCCCATGGTGTTCGCGATATGATTGACGATATTGGTCATGTTACTTGATCTATTGAAGTAGCTACTAAAACTTTCATCTACTAGGTCCAATCCCCACACACACGCTTGTTTTCGAGTCTCATCAAAATATGATATTTGAAATATTTCCTTGGTAGTATCATTCCTGCGGTACTCCTCTGCGCTGAAGAACTTATTTATCTGCAGCTCGTAAGGATGGTTATTATTGTCGATGGTAGAGTCGACAGCGGCAAAACATCGAAGACAGCTGATGCTTGATGCAGTGATAGGAATCCGGAGCATGACGATGCACGACAGCATCCACAGGTTATACATTTTGGAGGTGGTTTGTCGTTCCATGCCGGCGAAGAATCGATATGATTGATTGTCTAGTACAGCGTAGAGAGAAGGAAATCATTTATTCTTGAGTGCAGTAGAAGAGTGGTCTCTAATGATAGCCCAAATGTGTCCCCTTTTTTGGGCTTATCTAGAAAAAATCACTCATTTTTCAGTTTTCCTGGAACATATTGCGTTTTGGATCCATTATTGATGATGTAAATTTAGAAAAAGTTATGTAAATGTTTGGAATCTATTAAGTGGCCATGTGATTAGAATGGCTGTTTGGGGAGGTCAGATACACTCTCTTAAAATTTGAAGCCATTTGGTACACGGTATGTGGTTTCCCAAAGGCCTTGTTTGGAAAAAATCATTAAAATGTATGGGGAACGAGGCACTTTCACATATTCGATACTAGGTGACGCTGTAGGTGTTTGATTTACTTGGTGTGAAAAGCGAAGAACCTTTGCACAGTCGATGAAAGTAACTCAAAATTTAGTCGAATTGAATGGGCATCGTTGTCCGCCATCGGTTGCCAGATCAACTGTTATTACACAAAGAACCAATAGAGCAGTTCCATGCCAAATGATGAATCGATATATTCCGATTTGCATAAAGCTTTGCATAGTTGTTTGTTATGGGCAATCATTCACAGTTTTGCAATAATTCATGTTTTTTTTTAAATTGTGTTTTTGCTTACGATATCCATCATGCCACCTAGATGTCATCCCGAAGGGAGATAGTCAATTAGTGACCACTGGTCATTCAACAATAAATAATCAAAGGGCAAAGAATACCACTACCCACAACAATAGGCAGAAGGACAAGCAATCGGTTTCTAACAAACTCTTCGAGACTACTCCCGATTGTTTTTTTTTCAATTAACTTCGAATATTAAATCAAATATCAACAATCCATCATCATCATCGTGGCGAACAAAATAGTTTTTGGAGTGTTACAATAATCATTAAAAAGTCGTTATTACAGTTATCCATACAAACTATTCCGCTAAAGATAACTTTGCACACTAAGATTATTTCACCGAAATCTGTGAAATTTTACCGAATTCTCAACAGCTGAACGTTCGGTAAACAGTTCGGTGATTTTTCACAGATTTCCTGTAATTTTTTACCGAATATCTGTGAAAAATCACCGAACTGTTTACCGAACGTTCAGCTGTTGAGATTTCGGTATAATTTCACAGATTTCGGTAAAATAATCTAAGTGTGCGTCAAGATACATAATATGTCAATTCATAAAAAAAAAAGTACCGGATTTGAACAGTTACAGTTTTAATGTGTAAAATGCAGTGTAATTTAAATTCTGTAAGTGATGATGAACGTTTGATACATCTAGGCATCTAATTAAAACATTTACAAGTTTGAGATAACGCCTGAATTGTTTTATTGACATTAATATGCTCTTAATTAAACTCTAATGCAATTTAAATCTATTTTATTTCCGCATCCGCTCTAGCATTGTGAATTCTACCAGGTTGCATTTTCCCACCAGAGCCATGTGACATTATGCAATCGCTCATAATAAAAACGAAAAACGCATAAATTTGCCTTTGTTTGTTCTTCCGAAATTCATTCCGCGCTGTGAGCGCAATGCATCAACTGCACGACTGATTTTTCACTGAAAAGTTTCGCTCCAGCTCGCTAAGTTTCCCTAATTCCGCATCCATGTGCGAGAAAACAGATATAAAGGTATCTGCTCTTTCAGTGACACAGCCTGGAGTGGACGCCGGAACGTATGGATGTAGGATGTTGCCATTTGCCAAAAGAGGATTTGTGGATGACGATAATGACGGCAACGGTGATGATGCACACTTTGTCACACCCCTACTATCGAAGTTTATTTAACAAAGCGCTTGGGAAAGCACGACGAAAATGCAAACAGCACCTGAAGCATCATGATTTGGAAATAATGGAATGGCAACAAGTTTAGCATTATCCATACCCACCCAGTAGTGGTTGTGACGCTCGGGCCAAGTAGAATGACAACCCCGTGATGGGATGTGAAAGTTATTTTCAGGACGTTTACACGCCCGGTTTGAGGGGTTGAATATGGAAAAATCGATTTTGAAATAATAAGTGAAGTGGATAATGAGGTTATGGTAGTGTTGGGCCTGCAGGACGTTTGCTATTAAGTGGATGTAAATTGAAAACCAGGTTATAAGCTTAAGGCTACACGTATTAATTTATTCGACCGTAGCATGTTAATTAAAAGTAGGATTTGATTGCCCTAAAGCTTGGTTGAAATTGGTCGCTGAGTAGAACATATAACATTGCAATAATTAAGATCGGTAAGACTAGATTCGATTTAAATATTATAAATCTACTTATGATGACTATTTAATGGTGAACCATAGGCAGAAGTAGCAATTACCACCCTTTCCACACATCTATTACTATAACTGAGCGCTTTGTAGAAGAATGTATTTTCCTGTTTTTGGTGTGAGTGTCTGCTTGCTGAATAGTGTGTCGATGTATTGTTTGAAAAATGTAAGTATATATCAAATTTACTCTAATGAAATGCGTACACGACAGCTACGAATAAGGAAAAAAATCATTCCCACATCTATGAAAATTAAATCAGTCTGTCCTACCTCCAGCATCCGACGATCTCTGAGATATTCCGCGCTTCATTTCGTTTTTTCCCATAACCTTTGTACTGCTATCGGAGGAAAAGCGAGCTGCTGTTGATGCGTTGTTGGAGGATGTGGATGCGGATGATGCGGAAGTTGACTGCGCGGATTGCTGCAGTGACTGTGGTGATTGTTGATGATGCTGCTGCTGTTGCTGTAGCTGTTGACTGAGGCGACGCTGCTGATGTTGTTGTGATGAATTCAATTGGGCGCTGCTTGGTTCGGTTGGATGTCTTTTCTTTGGACGAAACCCTTTACTAGGGTATAATGGGTACTATCGTCCAGCTATACGGATCCAGTCACGGCTTAGATCATTGTTATTATACCAAATACCTGTTGAAACGGAAACGTGATCGATTATTACATGAGCGTTCTAACATATTTTGAGTGGGTCGGTCGTACTAAATTTTTTTTTTTTATAAATACTGCTTAACCACTTCATAAGGTGCAATTTGGGTATAGCATAGTGCAGTTGAAATTGGAAAATGCATATTATTGTTTTTTTTTCTTCTGGAGCTTGAGAATTTTACCGCAAGCGAGCGTACTTAAAGTAAGAAAGTTTGTAATTTTAGAAGAGCCGTGATGTTATTTTTTCATAACTTTTTTTTTACCTTCCGATAATTTATAAAACCATTACCACTTTTGTTAGCTTCCGCTGAAATGATGTTTCGCTTAATAGTCCGTTAATTTTTTGTCACAAGCGAATCACTATGGACACTAATCTAAAAGGTTTACCTTTTAGGGTGGGCTAACTTTATAACCCCAGACTGCTCACTGCTGTAGTGAGTTACCACCAATGCTCCTACAGAACTACCTCGCACTGTTGTAGGAGAAATATGGATAGATTTCTGGAGGTAAATTATTAAGGAATATTTATGTATATTACATATAAAATAGGATGTAAATAAATTAGAGTTAAGGTGATCATAGTTCAGAATGAACTCTACGTCATATATCACATCCCGTAGGAGGAGGAGAAATGAGGTCATTTCTCCGGGACTACACAATCAGTTTCGTTACACTACTATTTCTTTTTGTATAGAAATCACCAAAAACGATGTTAAATTTGAAGGAATTCATGATGCGAGCTGGATTTGTTGCATAATTTTAAATAAGGAGTCTATGAGAATATGATAAGACATATTATATTCGCTTGCAAACAATGCACACATTGGTCAATATTGCCCATACCTATGAATTTGAAGTCTTGTTGTTCAAGATTTAGACTTGTAGAACTCTTCAAAATCACAGTAAAACTTGGAATGAACTAAATTAGTGGTAATCGTAATTATCAGATTTATACGAGCACATTACTACTCCCAAGTAACATTGTACGTTTTGTCGAGGTTTTAAAGCATTCTAAATCAAGGTCTACAGAACCCTCATAAAACCTTAATTGTTACTTGGGCTATTACTACTCAGGCTAAGAACGGAGTGTCCTGTGCTGTGTGAAGAAGTCGTCTTAATTCCACTCGATCCATAGCTACATGTTGCCAGCCACACCGTCTATGGAGGGTCCACAGGTCGTCTTCCTCCTAATCGATCCACCTTGACCACCTCTTCGTCGTGTTCCAGTCGGGTTACTATCATGAACCATTTTCACCGGGTTCTTCCGACATTCTTCCGACGAGCCCAGCCCACCTTAGTCACTTTACTTTTGCAGTGTGGACGATGGATGGTTCTCCCAGCAGCTGGTGTAATTCGTGCACACTAAGATTTTTTAACAAGAGTCAGTATTTTTTTACTGGGTTTTTGAATTGCTGAAAAAGTCGGTAAAAATTCAAATGACCGTTATCCGTAAGGAATCAATGAAATCGACCAATTTTATTTTTTATCATTAAATGGGGTTAACATAACTAAGTATACACAAGTTCAGAACAAATTTTCTTATTAATAAATTTTCCACAGATTTTTAAACTTTTACCGAACAGTTCCGCCATTCAAAAACTCAGTAAAACCGTACTGACTCGATTAGTGTGTGGATCATTCGCCTCCTACACTTTCCGTCTTCCATCTGCCCTTCATCGTAGTCTTCATGGAAGGTCCGCATTACCTTCCATTCAAAAACACCAAGGGCACGTTGTTTCTCCACGAGCATAGTCCAGGTATCATGGCCTTAGAGTACCACTGGTCTCATCAGTGTCTTTCAGAGAGTCAATTTCGTGTGCTGGTGAATTTTATTCGTTTCGAGTGTCCCTGCCACAATGCGGTTTTGAATTTCTCTGCTGGTATCATTATCTGCGGTCACCAGAGAGTCAAAATACACGAGCTCGTCGACCACCTGGATTTTTCCACTGTGAATCTGAACTCGGGTGGGAGACTAACATTATCTTCCCAAGAACCTCTTCCTCTAATGTATTTTGAACTCGATGCGTTCATGGCAAATCCAATCCGCCTGGCTGCAGCCGTCAAACTGATGTACGTTTTCGCTATCGCCATGATGTCGATGTCATCGGCGAAGGAAAACAAGATGGGCGAACTTCCTGAAAATCGTGCCACTCGTGTTTATCTCCGTGTTACTTATCGCCAATCGAAATCGAAGAACAAATGATGTGTGGGTGACGTTCTATTCGTGGCATTTCTGCAGGACCTGCCGAATCGCGAAAATCTTGTTCGTGGTAGCGTGGACCACGAACTCTCTAGCAAACGGTGATAGGCGGCGGCATATAATTTGTAGACGCTCAGCAGTGTGATCGCGCGGTAGTCGCAGAAATCTAACCGCCCTTTTTGTTGATTGGGCATACGACACCGTCCATCCATTTCTTCGGTAATATCTCCTTCGCCCAAATCTTGGCAATTACCCAGTGCAGCGCTCTAGCCAGTGCATCACCACCATATTTTAATAGCTCGCTTATAATAGATATTAGGCTGTCGTCTTCTATGCGGTGTCCTAGTTCTGTTACCTTAGTTACCTTAGTTATCCTGATGCATTTCCGTTCAGATGGTCGCCATAGTACTGCAAAATTTTAATCACAACAATGGGAATAAAGCAAGTGGAGGGATATTTAGTATGTGGTTAGCGTTTATCGTTAGCTTCCGAAAATCTCATGATCATCTTATCGATAAGTAGTTATCGAAGCTAATACTTTCAGTTAGCGAATTATGTGTAATCGAAGCTAAGTTTAAGGTTAGTTGAGCCCACCTCTGGTACAGATAATGTGAGAAATACATGCATACATTTTTGACATATGCCATTTGAGACGTCACTCGTTCTCCATCGGTTGATGTAGGGTACATTTTGTGACGGCTTCGGCGTAGCGCAATAGATACGCTGGATCTGCAGTGATGTTCATATGGTGGAGGCGAGCGGTACACCAAAAACCGTTCGCTGAATCGATCTGGTGTTAAGTTAAGTTAAGTTAAGTTAAGTTTTCTTTATTAGGGAGGCTTTCAGCCTGGATCTGGTTCGCCTCCGTAATCAATCTGGTGTTAATTCGGTTTCCAGACAGGTGTTTTGTGACGAATGCTGTGGTCACGCACTCTCGTGTCGAAAGCGAATACCAAGGTTGGTGTCTCAGTCGACCGTGGTGAAACGTGGTGAGATCGGTGTGCAGATACACTGGCTGTCACTTCGCGCCTATACGTGTCATGGAGGGTGTAGCGCTACGTACCGGTCGGTCGCTGCCCAAAGGAGGCAAAACGATAATTCCTATTGTCGTTCACTGCGACGGGTTCCTGTAGCCTAGACAATAGGGTGATATCTTCTCGTCGAGGGAATTCTTCAGACGAGTTCCAAATCTAACAATAACTACATAGTGAGCTAGAAACCATTCACCTGTGTAAGATCGAATGTGTCTTTATTCTTTTGTCCTAGGTTTTGATCACCATGGTGGTTTTTTCAATTGAGTTACATCTGGCTTCTGCCTGAACACATGTACTCTTAAGCGAACCCCTCACCTATCAATATATTGACGTGAAGTGGAATTATTGACAATAATATTGATGATGTGAATACAGAACTATTGTCAATACCAATGTTTTTACGTCAACATAAACCACAAAGAGCTTTGGATCGGTTATGCTAGCAGAATTTAATCCGAACAATGGATTAGGTCCTATGTAACATTGCAAATTCTCTTCGTCGATTTTCTCTTTGCATCCTCACGGCTATGAATAGATATTTACAGCTATTTTAAACACACAATTCGATAATAGAAACTATTATCTAGCATCTTTAATACGGTAAACAGGCCAAAAAACAGTTTTGTAGCCAATTTATTAACGAAAGAATGTTACTTTGGACCAAATTAATTGTTCGGCTTTAATTCCATTTCCTTGAATTCGACAGTTAGTATGCATAAGGAGCGTATACGCGATGATCGATTCTCTTCATCGATTTTCTCTTTGCAGCTAAGCGAAACAATTTTCTAGAATTTGTCCAATGCAGAGTTGTAACCGGTTGTATGATGATCGAAATAGGAAACGCTGTGAAAATGGCGTGTTTTTGTTTTGCTGCGTCGTTTTCGTTCTAATGAAAATGTTATAAATTTACAATTTAATTTTCAAAAGGTGTTAATTTGAAAGTACAGAAGTGATATTGAAAAGTACATTAAGGGAAAATTTTCAAATTCCTATCCGTTGAATGTGGTGCCGACTGTTCTAACCTACGCGTGTTTATTAACCTTTTCGTTCCTCTGTCTTCGATAGGCAATATATGGTGATGGTGTATATTTGCATCAATAATGTATTGGAGCGGGGTTTATCATGTGTGAAAATAGCTTCGGAATGCTTACGTTCTTGAAATGGGCTAAATATTGTAGCTGCGGTAGAGCTGTTACCTTCTAACTCCCGGGTTCAAGCTTCTTTGCATTCATAAGAAATGATTGCAGCAGATTTTATCCATAATACCACTGCCAGACATTAGGAGTTAGGCCAAGGGCGACTCTTCATTCTAATCTACGATTCCACATACTATCAATAACCTTTTACACATCAGAATGAATTGTGCATATGTTTAGGATCAACAAACCTTTTCAGGCGCAAAGGAGCAACAGGATCGAGCTGATAACGTTTCTTAATTCTAAAATCTGAAGACTGTTTTGAATAATATGTTTAGGTAATGGGCAGTAACAACGGACAGATAAACTACACCCAACCGGTGGATGTAAGATTCGCTTACAATTATGTGGGATTCATCATCATGGGAGGATGTAAGTGGAGACCGCATGAACCGAGGATGCGATATACCTAGCTGCGGTCCGATGTAAGAAAATTGGAGACCGAAAAATGTGGAGTTGTATTAGTGAGTGAAATTATAATTAATTGTCGAAAAAAAGAGAAAAAAAGGTTGCCGACTGGACTCGAACCACGGACGTTGCGACTATCGGACCTGTGCTTTCTCCACTGCTCTCTCCATGCTTCTGAATATGATCAGCCTAAAAGCAAAGATGAAGCGCTCATTTTCTCGCATGCTCGACTTCGTATGCTTTTTCTGCTGGAGAGATTCGAGTTAAGTGTGTGCGTCGTTCTACAATGTTCTACAATGTGCGTCGTTCTACAAGCTTACTGGTATAGTCGAAAGCGTAGATGGAACACGAAATAAAAAAGACAAAAAACCATTACATCGCCTGCATGGTCAATTGCTAACATTCGTTGCGATGTTCATGAACAGAGGATGATAGGAACTGGAACTAACATTCATTGTAATAGATTTTTGGTTTGCGTGTACTTGCAGCTTCTATTTATTAAATGCTTGATAAAACTATTGCCAGCAACGCCGGCTGGGTGTATCCTATGGCTTACCCTCGCTACTAACAAAAATCCACCCTTCCCGTGACACTTATGAGGGGTCGTAGAGTTCTCTGCATATTTCTTAAGTAAGCGTCGGACTAACATTCCTCCCCTTTCCCCACCCCCAGATGCAAGGACGTGGCAAGGACAGCTCTGGTCTGTTGGAGGGAGACACATCCTTTATCTAAGAGGTAGTAATTAATCACAAATTACTATCTAACAGCAACGGATGAAGATGAGTCTCCTTCTTAACAACAGTTTGGAGCTCGTACCACCTACGACATTGTGCGACCTGGTCTATGCTATGCTATGCTATGCAGAGTTGTATTAGCTATTAGCAAAAGCAACTCTCTTTGTATCCCCACGGCCATGTAAAGACATTCCCAGGTACTTCCAGACACAACTCGATAAAAGAAGCTTTTATCTTGCATCTAATACGACAAACACAACGTTAATTCTAGCGAGTTATTAACAAAACAGAAAATCGATCATCGCGTTTACGCCTTTATGCATGCACACTGTCGAATTATCCTATGTGATACCGAAGAGCGAAAGTGAAAAGGCGAGCCTTCTTGAACAATACTGGTTTTATTCAATTAATCGTAGGCCTAGAAATCGTCAATAGAAAGTTGCGCGACATCATGTGTTTTTGGAGCAACAATTATGATTAAACGCGATGGACAATTGACAATAATTGATGAACTATGCCACTTCATGTTTGCACCTGATCGCTGGAACGGTCCTTTTAAAAGTTTCAATAAGAACAGTGTTATTGTTGTTATATTTGCGAGCTTTCGCGCAAAGCAGCAAGTGTCACCAATTGAATGCACCGCTGCTGCGCTGCTGTGTTAAGTTGACGGTTGGTTATGTTATGAGTGCTGAATCATCGGGATACGTTTTATTTAGTGAATGAGATGCTGGACAGATGGGATGCATTTTCGGGAGAGGAGAGGAGTTCAACAAATGTCCATGGTCCTAGAAATGTTATGCTTCTTTTGCGAGGCTCTTAATTTAATGTACTTGATGCACTTCCACAGTTATTAAATGAAACCCATCAACTCATGAACCGGGGACCAACGGCTTTACTTCCCTTCCGAAGGAAGGCGTGATCAGAGATGTTTTGCCTCAGAACATCCCGGCGGTGCCGACTGGGATTGAACCCAGGCCTTTTGGGGTGAGAGGTTATCACGCTTACCACTACACCACCGGCACCGCTACCCATTAAATATCAATAATGGATTACAGTTACGCATTAAAGGGGTAAACTTTTACCCATTTATGAGTTAAACCACTTTACAATTCTACTCATTAATGGGTTCCTTTAAGTTTATGTGTAAGCTCATCGTTTCACGCGACTGGATCAAAAAGCGTGGTGCCATGCGTTGTTGGTCGTGAGAAATTTTGGAGAAATATCACTAACACTTTCTGAACAGATCTGTTTCCATGTTTAATCAGTATGTGAAATAAATCAAATTAATACTTAAAAAGTGTGACCTTCATACAGGTCGGACTCCATTAACAGTAATTGACTTTTTCAGTCCTATCGCTGATTTTTAGCAATCGACCATTTAATTGCGTAAATTAACATCTTCACCGGACAGAGAATACAATTCTTCATCGGCTGGTAATGTTCATTTGAATGATTGAGTTGAGGTCAGTTACAGATAATCGAGTCCGACATGTTTAACCAAGTAATACATTTAATCATCATTTAGCTACGTCGGTCACGACCGGACCCGCAAGTCCCCTAGTAATATGAAAAAAATAAACATCATGTTGAGTGAAATGTGAATTCTATTTGTAGTTATTGATTAATGATTATCGCAACCCAGGGGGAGCACCCTTAGCGAAGCTACAATGCAAAACCATGATTGAGGTGGCTGGGTTCGATTCCCGTTCCGGGTTAGGAATTTATCGGGTTGAAAAATTTCTCGGCTTATCTGGGCATAGAGTATGATTGTACTTGCCACACATTATACTAATGCAAAAATGGTACAGGCATTGAAAGTTCTCAATTAGTAACTGTAGAACTGCATCTAGGCATCAGGTCTCCAGAGTTTTTTTCACACTCATATATCAGGTTTACGAGTGTGTAAACCCCCCAAGGTGTCCCCTTACTGAGTTTCAAACTTCATATCAAACTGCATAAACATTCAACAGAATTTTGTTTAAAAAATTTTTATAAAAAAGAGGTCATTAATCTTCAATGAAGCACTCGTGTAGAAACCCATATTACATATAAATGTTTAATAATTTTGGCGTTTAATGGGTCAATGAAGCTTCATCAAAATATGAAAACTGAAATGTGAAAACTGTGCTCCTAACTAGTCCGATCAAATGCCCAGTTCAAACGATCGGATCGCCACATAAATTCCAGAAAATACTCATTTTAGTGGACACATAAGAGGCTTAAGGGTATTGTGAAAAATGAAATATGCCGAAAATGCTTCTTTGCCATGTGATACTGTGTGTGGGTATTAATCTACATGCTTTATAGATAACCGTGAACCATACAGCTAATTTAAGGGGAAAGGGGACGTCATAAATTATTGGAAATTCAAAAGCAGTTTTTTGTTTAAAACCAAAATTCTGTGAATAAAACTGTGTTCTTCGTGTTCTGGTTGGCGTGTAGAATGCAATGAACACATTTTCATAAACATAATATTTGTTTTGATCGGAAAAAAAAACTGCTTTTGATTTTTTTTTTGGAAATTTATGACGTTCCCCTACCAAGTATTTTTTTTTTGTTTTATCATGGTCTTGTAGCCTATGATTTAGTCATGAAGACTGCTTTAAAACCATGTTAAAACCAGAATTGTTACTTGGGCAACCTTAATAAAAGTCTTTATTCATAGCAAGCAAAAGCTGCATAATATTCATGAGCTGATATAATGAAGTGCGAGTCTATAAGGTAAAAAAGGAGTTGTCTGGCTAATCTCCAGCCAAACGAACTATCAATGTCAGAACCATCCGAGCAATACCTATTTTGTTTTCAATGGCAGTGTTGCTAGAAACTGCCAAGCTAGTTTGTTTTAAATTCACTCCTTTCTTATCATAGACCTTCACTAATAAGCAATTGGGTTTTTTGTTGTTCATAGTTTAAGTTTGGATGCATGCGAGCTGTTAAAAAAACTTTTCCGTTAATGTTAATTTCTGTTTACAATTGCTTGATAATACATTTCCACAAATATCATTGGAAACGCTGCAGAAAAGTTTATTTTTTTCCACAGCAATCACGATCCTACTATATTATTTTTTTGAATTAATCAGGAGAAAAGCTTATTTTGGGAATTTCAATAATTTATGAAAACGTTTCATTTTACATTCAGATGGAATTTTACCTATGTACGAGGGTAAAATCTGCTGGGCTGACATCATTATTACAAAGCATCACAGAAATTATTCGTTCTTAGTCCATATGCTACGCATCGTATGGTGGTATACAAACAGAGTGAGATCTCAAATGAATTGTGGGCACGCACGATTGTCTGTAGCTGATAATGTTTTCCGCACTCGGAGAGAATGCTTTCCGGTTTCATATGTCAGGAGATAAATGGAAGTCCTGTAGATAACTTTTCAATGTGAGAGACTAGAAGAGGCACGTCAAACAGAGCTGGTACAACACTTTTTTGCCCTCTTAACAAACTGCTAATGGGTGCGAGACAATGCACAGACTCAATATGTCATTGCCGTTTCCCAATCCATCAACTTTGGCACCGCTCAACGATTCACCATTCGAGGCTATGATGGGTGACGGTGGACAGACCCTTCTATAAGGGCGCACGGCATTTGAACCTTGCTCACACGAGAGAATCCAATCTTCGCATATGAATCCTGGCGCTCATAGATAGACGATAGAAAGGTTGCTAATAGTGAGTGGTAATAAGTGGAGACCGAGCGGGAGATACTTGGGAGACTGAGAGCCAATTGGGCTGGGAGACACGATGCCAAAGCCCGTCGGCTGGTAGGAAAATTGCAACCTAAATGACATTTTTCACAGGACCAGTGCTTCCATGTGCTAAATTTTTATCGCTCCTTGAATTATTCAGATGTGTACGTTAAAACCTGATTTCATTTGCATATGTATGAGAAGAGATAAAGTAAATTTTTTATCAGCACATGATGGTGCTGGCCTTGATGATAGTTATTTTAACTAAAGGGAATTTTAAACAAAGTAATGAAGGATAATGTGAAACTTACTGATCATTATGACAAATACTGTATGGTAAAATCCTCTTTTTACGTCTCAAGAATCTGTTTACCTGAAAGAAAATATACACACACACAAACTAACTCACACGCGCGAATCTACTTTTCCAAGAAAACGGAATTAACGCGATAGAAAATTTCCATTTGTCCTGGTTAAGTTCTTCAGCTTTTTTTTTCTCACGTCGTGCTAATTCTTTAGCATCTTTGGTGGTCACTAATTCACCAAAATTGTGCGACTGGCTGCCGGACCACTGAATAAAACCAAAGCAGGAAAATCACCTTTCACGTTCACTTCACTGCACTAGAATGCTATCCGAACCCTGCGGGAAGAATTTAACCCGAAAAAGTCACCGGTTTTGACAGGACTACACCCGATTTTTAAGAACAAATTTGCAGCTTCTGCACGATGCAATTGCAGAAGGCAGGCTCCATTAAATGGATTTTATGATCCTTTGTGTAGCACAGAGACACTTGGGCGAGGTTCCCGTGTAATCTCCGTGACTGTACAAACTCAACTGAAAATTGATGCTGTGAAAAGCTGAGATTTACCAATTCAGGATACGAACGAGAGAGCAGTAGCATTAGGCGGATATTCTCAGTACCCACGCTCTTCTTCCTAGGGGGTGGCGGATGGCCTTTGATCGAAGAGATAGCATCTCTTTCTTTCTCTCGTGTGCGCGTATTTTCCACTCCTGTGGGCTCTTGTTACGATTCTGTGTCGGAATTGTACACATGCATAGAGGTGCCAAAAGCGCAAAACGTTGCTGGTGAGATCTTACAGCGGAAGTTATCCGCCGACACCGTTCATCTATAGTAGGACATTGGGTGGCAGAGGAAAAAATGGGTGCAACAATTCCTAGCCACACATACGGTATAAAATACATCTATGTGTATTGCTATATGAAATGCATGTTGTTTCAGGGAGACGCTCAGTCTTTTTTGGGTAAAGTGCTAATTATTATGAAAAAAGAGTAATGAGTGACGCGTTACCTATTTAAATTTGATATTATATTTGGTTTTAATATGTGTGACCATCGTACTTTTGTCCACCCTAGTGCCAATTCCAAACAACTTAACGATCTATAACAAAACGTTAAATTCAGCTCGAAGCATACGGTATCTATTGAGCTGATTCGGTATTTTTTTCAATTAATGCTATTTTGAGGGAGTACTTTGAGGTCCCCAGTAATTCTGGCAAAGTTGGTTGCGATCTGGATTTGAGGTAGAACTTTAAATTGTGTATGGCAAAATGTATGCTAAACGGACTGAGACTATTGCTTGTCTACAATTCACACATGCTCAGTAGTGCCTCTACCTGAGACTTAAATAGAACAAACTATGTAGAACAATGTAACGGAATCGATTCAAGTGCCAATGCTGCAGCAAAATATTACGTTGGCGATGTCACAAGTGCTCCGTTTTGGTTGGCAAAGTTCGGAGAACGACGTAAAAGTTAGGGAAAGTTTTCTTAGGAAAGAAAGGAAAGAACTTCATAGACCATTGCGCAGCTTCAAAGAAATTCGTTAAAAAAATAATTGAAGTTCAGAAAACTTTCTTGTAGTGCAGTAAGTTATGCAGAAATTCTGTAAACTTTGTAGAAGTTCATTGTAGAAGTACAGTGATCTTTGTAGTAGTGCAGTGAACTTAGCAGTCAGAAAAACTCTATAAATTATCAAAAGAGTACAGAGTATTTCGTGAAAGTTCATCAAAGTTCGTAGAAGTTCGTCATACTGATCAGAAGATCAGTAAACTTCATAGAAGTTCAGGAATTTTTGGAATAGTTCAGATAACTTCTTAGGACTTCAGGGAACTTTGTATCAGTTTTTCAAAGATCTTACTCTTTCTGAACTTTCTGGAAGGATCTTCAGCTTTCAAATTTGGCATCCCTGGGGCGAGTAGCATAATGAAATTACATAGAACTTCTAATTCCCATTTGACAAACATTAATTTACAAGATCTTGTAGAATTATTTATGCTTGTACCGCAACAGGGAGTTAGCTTGTTATGGCCCCTTATATTTAAATTATTATCAGGCTAGGCCTAAGTTTTCAGGATTAATATTACCCAGAGTGTGCCAAATACCGAAGCAAAAGCGTTACCTCGGTAACGAACAAAATCTTAATGTGGGACCAGCAATGTAGTGTTTGTTCTTTTTGTATAAAACATACGTTCGTTACTGCCATTAAACATTTTTGCGAGTTTATTTAAGCCTTTAAAAAAATCATCCTATCGATGCTTCTCTAGTTGATTCCAAGCCTTCCGCTTGGGGCAACAGATTATCCGGTGCCCCTTAGTTTCGGTGCAAAGGGAGCATTTATCCCTATTTCCGTCATAAAATATATTCTCTTTCGATGGAGGAAATGTAGCGAGGTGAGGATTTCTTACTTCTTATCATGTTAGTATAAATATTTAAATAAATAAATAAATAAATATTGAGCGTATTCCAATAATGGGAAATTTTGATTTAGAGGGTCTCTAATACAAGAATAGCTTGGAAAAAATTTAAAGATTTTTTTCTCAGCCCATAGTATAGTAACTACTCGTAATAGTTCGAACATATCCTCTGGATGACTCCTTACCGGGCTATTCTCCGACTAAATTTGATGCTCTTGGGTTCACTATTCAATTTGTGTGGAATTTATTTGTACCATGCCATAAGCTGTTAAAGGCACATGTATATCTGCGTGAATCTTTCTTCCACAGAGAGACCGGTTGGGTCACCATCAACAGTTTTGGGAGAGAAATTTGTAAACTGAGAGTTGCTTGCCATGGGATCTACCGCTGTCCCTACGATATGATAAGTGGCGGGTGAGAATCAGTATCAGCGAGGAAGGAAAAACTGTCTGCAGGAAAAGCTGCTCAGATACTCCATTTAGGCATGGTTTGAAATGCAAAGCAGCATCAACATCATCGTTCATTGGAGGTTTTTTTCTTTTGGTATCTTTCACTCTACATTCGAGTACAGGAAACACGAGAAAAATACTGAAATTATTTTCTGTCATTGAATGGTACCACCAAAAAGGTAATCAGCCTTTCTATTCGAGACAGCGTCTCGGATTTACATTGGAGTATATATGTATATGAATGAGCATTTGTACGTTGCATTTTCCATGTTTTCCTATTTCTTTGATGCGGCGATGATGATGTAACACTGTCACACCGTTGTCGTCTTTTTCTCATCCCACCCGTCGTGCCTGATTCACCACCGGCAACTATAGCAGCACGAAAAAAGCATAGTGAAGGGGAGGTGAATAGCGAAACACATGTTGCCGAAGGATATCAACTGCTGAGGAGATAAAAGTATTAATCTTTTCGCCAATTTACATGGCTTTTCCATTTTTCGATTATACTGGAGATGTGGCATACAGCTCTAGGCATATTCTATTGTGCAAAGCATATTGTTGATGGTGTGAATTATGTAGTTGCACATAAAGAAATATTGAGAAATAGTATAGCATAATTAGATCACTTAAGCAACTTAATACACACATCATTCACGTAAAAATAAATATCATAAAATACTTGTAATATAGTAGTTTGTTTCATCATGAATAGATTCCAAGTATTCTCTCGCTTCAATAATTGTTTTTTAATACCTGTACACCAAACCGGAAAATTCAAGATTCTATTGCAGATTTGCATAAATGTTATACAAATGTTGCAAAATTTCATACATTATTTCTTTTAAATAAGCGATAGAAAACATTTTATATTCTGGGTGTAAAATTAACAGTTCACAAAGGGGCTAAAATTAACAGTGTGCACATTTTTCATTTTACCCTCAGCTCTGGTTCAAATTACTCCCATTGTGTATTAATGTTAACCCCATCACCTGTTTATTTTATTTGTTGTCTTGTATTGGGAGTGGGTGGAAATTCAGGAATTCCAATGAAAAATTGTAGTTGTTGATACATTTCTATTGTCTACTATTTAGCGGCGTCGGTGGTGTAGTGGTAAGCGTGATTACCTCTCATCCCAGCAGGCCTGGGTTCAATCCCAGTCGGCACCACCGGGATGTTCTGAGGCATAACATATCTGATCACGGCTTCCTCAGAAGGGAAGTAAAGCCGTTGGTCCCCGGTTCATGAGTTGATGAGTTCCCTTGAAATGTGTACACTAGCGTGCACAGACATCTTAAGGAATTTTTAATGAAAGGTGCAAGATGCAATTAACCGAATTGCTCAAGAATCGCATCAACGTGAGCGATTTGCTGGCAAAAATATTCCGTACCAGGTGGGCTGACGAAACAAAATGGAAGTCCGTTCAATAGCTCTGGCATGCATTTTCAATATGTGCTGTGCATGAAAGGTACTGACGTACTATGGGGCAAGCTTTCTGCTTGAAAATCTGGACATACAACTGGCCGACCACGCAATACCCTCTCGAGCTCGGTGTACGAACTGTTCCTCGCTCATTGGTAGTATTGTGAAACGTAACCATTTGTATAGCGCAGTGTAAACTCACTACTTTCTGTGCACTAGAGTAAATTTTACAGGAGGCGCTTTTATTCAAAATACTGTAATAATAAAATCTATTCATCAAAATAAAAATAAAATAAATTGAATAAATATGTTGCAGAGGATTTGAATAAATGTGATCATGAATTTACCGTAGCCAGAAAACGCCAACATGGTGATCCTGGACATATAGAAGGTTTATGCCTAGGGCAAAGTTGAACAGTGGATCAAGGCCTTATGGTTGTGGACAATAGTTAAGAATTTGCTCACTACGCGGCGCTTGTGTGTACTTGAACAAGCTGTATTACGAGATCCTTGCCATATAGGTTACTGTCTTAAGCAAAGTTGTTCAGGAGACCAATTTCCTGTGGATGGTGGTCATATTAGCTCAAAACTTGCTCACTACGTGGTGTTAGTGTGCACATTAACTTTCTGTTTAAGCTGTATTTCGGGGTCCTTGCCATATAGAAGGCTACTGTGTTCAGCATACTGCCTATAGTTGCATATTAGTCCTATATGAATTTTCGTCAATTTTGAGATAACAACGCTATCCACTATCAATTGGCATCTACTTTTATATTATGTGATAAAACTATGGACTTTGTTCAGTTTGTCCCATGAAGCAAAATAATCGCATATCAGTCCCATCCTGAAATTCAATCGACCATGGTTCAAGTTAAAGGTCTGCTTTTTGAATTGCCATATTTATCGCTGATATAAAAAAAACATGCAAGCTTCATTGCAACAGATTTTATCTTGAAAAAATTATCAATTAATTTACTATTAATTATCAAATATTTACATGGAAATTGCACTTCGTAACTTCGACTGCCATTTTCTCAATGCCTACTTTTTCCATATGGAACTGATATAGGATTATAGTCATAGTCACTCTTTCTGATACAGGTCATATTAGCTCAGTAATCTCCTACAAAGCAGCGCTAGTGTGAACATGAACTTCCTGTGTAAGCTTTCTGTAAAAGTGCCAAATACCCCAGAATATGAATATTTCGGAACGAAGACGACGTGTAGACGGAAATA